GGGACATGTGAGATGCTGCAGGGATGAGACGGGACTGTATGTGATGCTGCAGGGGTGAGGTGGAATGTGTGTGATACTGCAGGGGTGAGGTGGGACTGTGTGTGCTGCTGCAGGGCTGAGACAAGATTGGTGGCCCTGTTGAGATGCTGCAGTGGCAGCTGTCATTTCACCTGCCCCAGCTTGGACCACTGTGGGACTGGGTATGTTTGAAGTGGTGCTGCATCTTTCGACCTCAGTGTCTTAAGGGAGGGGGGGCAGGTCACACCCCTACCTCATCCATCGCTTAGTAAAACATTCCACAAGCGCCTGTCTACTCACTGCCATGTGAATACTGAGAGCCCAGAAATGATCCAACCGGTCCATCCCCTGTGGATCCTTAAGTCTAGAAGGAATTGCTGTCCAGATAAGAGGTGTGACAATCAAAGTAAGTACACGGTACTGAGAAAGCCTTGGCCAGGCCACCAGGGTGGGAGCTTGAGCAACTAGGCTCTACTGGACTCAAACCTCATCCAAACTGCTGCTCCAGGTGGCAAAAGGGGCCAGCAAGAGAGGGAGGCAGCTGTGTCAGCGCTGATAACGCTCCTGCCAGCACATGTCCGTAGCTGACAACATGTTGCCACCCCTGCCTCTTCCCTGGGCACAGTGCTGTCCAAGATGTGGCTACTTCCTAACTGAGAGATGTCAACACCACTTCGGGATCTCAGGGCAACTACAACAAGCTAATAGTCAGTAACCCAGCAACAGGATTCTGGGAAGAGAACCTGAACTCCTGAGAAAGGGGAAGGGGGCTTTGAAATGACAAGGGGAATTGGCCCTTGTCCCAAGGAGTCAGCCGCTTTGGGTTAGACTCCAGATGCCCAGGGTCAGGGTCTGGAGCAGGAGGTGAGAGCCTAGTGGAGCCTCCACATGTTCCAGGCACAGACACAAATACCCAGTGTCCCCTCCCTCCCACTTGGCTCCTTAGGGGCTGGCTAAGACATGTACTTTGCTGCAAAGGGAGTGGCAACAGTCCCTGCATGGTGCTCCCTGCACACAAGAGGGGACGAACATTAGGATGGTGGCAGTCAGCAAAAAAGAGTACCCAGTCCCTGAGCCGGGCTGGCAAGAAAGATAACTCCTGATCTGGAAGAATCTTCTCTTCATCTCCAGCTGCACACATGTGATCTGCAGTGCTGGGCCCAGGGGGAGGAGTGACACTCAGAATGCCCAAGAAGAACTGTCCCCCACGATGGTCAACATTGTGGGGAGACTAGGACACAGCCCCAGCAGAGAGAAAACAGGCCCAACATGATTCATTTGCCTTCAAATAGTCCACAGAGGCAGAAAAGGGTTCCCCTTTCAAGGAGAACAGAGAGATAGATACACTGACTTAAGGGCACACAGGGAGCTGGTACCGGAAAGAAGGTGGGCCTCATGTCTTTCCCTTTAGTGGGCTTTTTCTACAGCCTCTGACTTTTTATGCGTTTAAAGAGGGCCAAGAAGGGGCTTTACTCTAATTTGAGGCAGTGCCAGCTTGGCTAGACAGGGCCTCTGACCTTGAACGAGGCATTTTTATGGAGGTAAATGGGTCAGTGGGGTCAGGTTTTCCTCCTGGCTGGGACTCCATTTGCCTAGGTGAGGGAAGGGCAGGGCAGGGGAAGGGGAGTCCAGGAAAATGACCACGTGCACAAGTGAAACAGATGCTGTCGGCTGTAGTCCCAGATAAGGGTAGGGGGCACAGGCCTTGAACGAGAACTAGCTAGGCTGATAGGGGAAGTCTCGGGGAATACCAAGGTCCCTGGTTAGTCCTCCAGGCTGTGGGGGTGGGAACTGGCTGGCACATGTAGGAACAGAGTTGGGGCCACTGATCCCTGCCTTTAGGCAGAGATTTCCCCTTGGCACATTCCCCCGCCCCTGGGTGAATGCGGTGAGGGATTTTCTCCTGGTCTTCCCCAAGCTCTAGAAGCAGAACATAGGCTACGGGGATTTGGATGGCCTGGTCAACACTGCCAACATCCCGGCTCTAGCCGCTGCCATTTCAGCCCAGGACTTCCCCCTGGGCGATCAGTGAACCATGCCTGCTAACCAGCAATTGGACCTTGAACAAAATAGTTCCTCTGCCTCAGCTTTCTTGCACGGCACCCACAGGTGTGGGTAAGACGTCTTCCCAACCTAATTTGAGAACAGTGCTGGCTCAGCAGTAAAGTCTCACTTCCAAGGAGGAGGTTCCTGGCCAAGGCACCTCACGTGCGGCCACCACCTGTCTGTCAGTGGAAGCTCGTGCGGAGTATGATGCTAAACGGGTTTCAGTGGAGCATCCGGACGAAGATGGGCTTAGAAGAAAGACTTGGTGATCTACCCCTGAGAGCCAATCAAAACCGTGTGGGCCATGACGGTTCCATGCACAACTGATGGTGGGGCTGGTGCAGGCCTGGGGGGTGGGGGAGTTGCACAGTTGGGAAGGCGCTCTGACGGGCTTAAACAACAAACTCTTCCCAGCTCCCAAACTGTGAGTTTGTGAGAAATTCCCAAATTTCATTTCCCCCACAGAGTAGGATGGCTGAGAGTGAGCTGTCATCCCCACCCACCGAGATGTCACTCATTTGTCCCTGCAGGCTAGTGCTATGTTCTTTGTGTCTGTACTTCACACGGAGGCCCCTGTGAAACCTTGCCAGCCACTGGCTTAGATGTCTGTTCTGCCCCCTCACCTAGGAAAGGCATTTTAGAACCACAGCCCCTCCCTCTGTGGGCCTCAACTTTAAGCCAGTGGCTGCCAGGACAGCAAGCAGCTCCCGTGTAGTGGTGGAGGGGAAAGAACTGAGGAATGAGTGCCCCCTGCATCCTCAAACCCTGGGGGGAGGGGACCCCCAGAGGAAGGAGCGAGATTTTCATGATCTGGTCTGGCCTGCCAATTCTCACCTCCAGCAGAGTTTTGCTCCATTCCTGATCACAGGGGCTTGATCGGCTGGGGGAGGAAACAGGCCTACAGAGATGATGGTGTGTGCCCAGGTCGACGGCAATTAGTGACAGATCTGGAAGGAGAATCCAGGTCTCTGCGGGGTCTCCATGTCCCATGCACGCTCCTTTTCCAATCACAACTAGAAAGGACCCCTGGTGTTTCGGTCAACACCAGGGTCTGAAGAAACTGAGGGCAGTCAGGCCCTGGGGCTTGAAGTCTAGTCTTGAGGGAGGTGGGGCAAAGTTTGGGGCAGTGCCAGGAGAGTGATGTGGCCCTGGAGGCCTTTTCGGTTCCTTCTCCAGGCTTGGGGGTGGGGGTGGGGGAACCACAGGCCTACAGAAGGGGGAGCTGAAGCCCCTAAACCCATTCTAGATGAGATGGGTGGGGCTGGAGGTTTGGAATTTGCGCCTCCCGCTCCCCCCACTCCTCCTTGCCAGCAGGGCCTCCCAGCCTCAGGCCTGCAGGTCCCCACATCATGAACGTGCCTTGGGCCAACGGGAAAGCACTGTTCCTCTGGAAAATCACCTTTCTCCCTTGCCCCGACCCTCATCCAATGGCAAGAGAGTACCCCCAGGTCTTTCCTGAAGCCCCCTGCAGACTCCCCTGCAACGAACCCCTCCAGACGCGGTGACACCGTGGTGTGTCCCCGACCCCGACCATAAATTATTCCAAAGTGTTGTCAGCCCAGAAAACTAGGCAGCGCCGCTCCGCACGCTGGCGGGGAAGCGGCATCGGGGGATGCCCCCCTCCGCAGCCTGCGGCGGGCAGCCCCCGGGCCCTCCGGGGTGCCCCCGGCCCCCGGGACTCACCCAGAAGAGCATGTTGAAGAAGAAGAGCAGGTACTTCACCAGCGGACTGACGAAAGAGAACTCCTCGCAGCTGGCGGCCGTCGCG